GGCTTATTGATTGTGCTAAAAAGATCGTTACATTACACAAATTTTTTCAAATCTGAACTCACTTGCAAAAAACTTTATATTAAAAACACCAAACAAAAAATTTAAAAAGTAGCTGTTGTTTTTGTTCTGCAGCAAAAATTTTTAAACTTTTTACAAGAGTCAAACATTTTTTGAAACAACTCAAAGATGATTTTGGAACTTTTTTGCAGCAAATTTTTTTTCAATTTACTCGAAGTTTTTTGCAGCTCTTGCGCTTGATATGAAAATTTTTGAAAGTTTTTATTGATTTGTGAACATTGTTTGCCTCAATTGGACTTCAATTAAATAACAATTACTTAGCATTTCAAAAAGAAAACTTTTCCATTTTGTCAAAAATCATTAAATGCTTGAGGATTAAGCCAAGTGAACATAAAAACTTTTGAACTGTTGTTGTTTTTTTGCGGTTTGTTTTTAATTACATCGATCATTGCCTTATTAAATTGCCTCGGCCAAATTTCAATTCCAAAAAAAAATTCTCAGTGCTTAGAAACTACCCTCTGATTGTTTCCTTTATTGAGCACTCTTCTTTTGACTATACTTTTTTTGATTTGAAGGTGAACTGTGTTCATTTGTGATACACAAAAAAACTACAAAAAATTTTAAACATACTTTTTTGAAGTTTTTTTTCTGTAATAAATTGCTACGTTTTGCAAAAAAATCCACCGGCTGTAAAAGAGACATAATAGGCACTCTTGTGATTTCGCCAAAAATGATAGGACAATCTAGCCAAAAGTGAGTAAAACATGTGAGATACGTTTATTGAAAACGAGAACACTTAAGTGTTTTGAATATTTGCACAGTCTTTGAGCCAAACCGAACTTTTAGAAGGGCCAAAAATAATTTCATGACAGACTATCCCTTTCTTTTTTATCCAACGCGAAGGTATGCCTCTCAAAATAACCTATTTGTTGAAATATCTTAGGAAAAGTAGCCCAAGCTAATCAAAATTTCCCATCTCAGGAACCGAAACAATTAAAGTATCGCAATAGGTTAATCAAATGTACTCAAACCAAGGTACCGCAATTGAACAAACTGATCGAGGCAATGTCACCTTTTAAAAAGCGCCTAAACTCAAATTTAGTTCAGAGCGTGAAAATTTCTACGCACGTTTTAAATCCACCGTTTTCTTTGAAATATTAAAGCAAAGAGCTATGACTTTCAAGCTCACTTGGCACTATGGTTAAAGATTATGACTCTTGGGCTAAAGCTCAAACAGCCGATTACGATGGATAAAAAATGCTTGTTCGAAATTGATGAAAAATTGCCATTTTAAAAGGCGAAAACCAACCTGTACTGGGTAACCGGTGTGTAGTGGGAGGGTTGGAGGAAAAGGCCGATTACGATGGATAAAAAATTTTTGTTCGAAATTGATGAAAAATTGCCATTTTAAAAGGCGAAAACCAACCTGTACTGGGTAACCGGTGTGTAGTGGGAGGGTTGGAGGAAAAGACACTATGTTTGGTGGTTTGGCCTCCTCTGTTCCCTACCAAAAAATGGTGCCACTACGATGACTATAAAGCCATAAATTATATGAATCTTCGAAAACCAATTATTAAGACCTCAAATTGACAATTTGACATGTTGAAACCTAGGAGAGTCGAAGGAGCCAGTGTTTGAAGATAAGACATATATCTGATTTTTCGTATGAGTCATTTATCACCCGGAGAGTTTCCTTAAGTTCTCTGTTGTTTACGAGTGTGATTAGTGGTGCCGCTGCTTGTTCTTGGAATATTGAACTTCTGGTTGTTGAGTCAAGCTGTATTTTTCCTAAAACGTTTGAATCGACGGTTGGCTGCCCTGGAAAGCGACGTAAAGCCGTTATGCCAGCCTACAACAGCATAGGTTGTTCAAATGAGACCTGCCACCTTGTTGTCGTAATGGTTCAATAGAGCTGAGGAAAAAAGATCACGCTGTTTTTGACTAAATAATGCTCCTTTATGTAAGTTTTCTTGAAAAACGATGCGAGGTTGTCAACTTTCCGAGAATATCATTTGGAATGTCAAACGATGTCATTTGAAAATGTAAGCTGGGAGCTGGGATCTTTTATAACGTTAAAGCTAGCTTAGCATTGTTTTCTTGATTTTTTTCAGACCTAATTTTGAAAATTTTCAATGAAAGCTTCGGCATTAAAATAAAGCAACCTTATGTTTCAGTTTTAAATAGGAACGAAAAGGCTATCAAGGCAGCTTGTTCGAAGTGAGAGACATATTTTTTGTGCATGATGTCTCCGATAAAGCTAATCAGGTTTTCATGGAACATGTGGTAAATTGACTCTTTCTTGTTAATATCGGGGGATGAAGCCGTCAAGCTGGATATGTACTGTGTACAATTGATAAAAATTGAGACGACAAATCTTAAAATTTCCATCACAAAGTCAAAGTTTGCTATGGACGCGAAGAGCGTTTAAATTTTCTAATTCCTTGAGCATAGTCAGTCTGTCGATCTTCTCTTTTGCGCTATAATTAGACAAAAAGGCAGACAATTGTCGGGATTGTCGAACTGAAGTTCTGTCGATGAAAACGCCTGAGTGGTTTCTCCGTCTCATTCCGATTGAGGTTTCTCGCTCAGTCTGGAAATGAAGGAAGTGAAAGCTGAATTGCCGGATTATCGTTTAATGTCTTGAGGCTAGCTGCTATCAACTAGTTCTTTACAGGATTGATTTGGAAGTTGGCACATTTTTTTTCAGCTGACCACATAGCTGCCTTGCTTCTACACAACCTGGGCTAATTTAATGACTATGTTCGTGGTAAAGAGAAAAAATGGGTTCGTTCATAAAATTTGCCTCATTTAAATTTGCCGTAGATAAACTATGCGATTTTGGTGTTCATTGCACTGGTGCTAGGTGCTATGTAGGTAATTATATATCTTTGCGTTGGTTTTGATTATCAAAACTTTCTCAACCATGACTCCAATAACACGTTGAAAAACAAAGTTTAATACCTGGAAAAGAGTCTTTTATCATTAGCACTTACTGTCAATGGTGTCTGAAAATAAACGAAGCAACTGAATTGAGACTCTTTTTAATTTCGATAAAGATATATCCACCGATCCTGGGTCATTTATGAAAAAAATTAAATTTTAATCTCTTATGGATTAATTTAATTGACGTGGGCTATAATTTTATGGGCTTTTGTGTCCATTGTGAAATATTGATAAGGGATGTTTTTTTTTTGTAATGGGATATTTTCATTTGGGATTACTTAGTCCTGTCACCGTAAAAATTTAAACAGCGCTATCATCTGTTTTGAATGTTGAGCAAGCATAAATATTCCGCATTTACTTCAAAAATCGTAAGAAAAAGCCATGTATTTCTTCGATTTGAGAAAGACCGCTTTTTTTCCGATTTATTCAGTTAGCGTTTCGGCTTCGTCTTTCATCCACCAGAACTGTATTTACCTTTTGTATATCTATATAAGTTGTTGGGATCTCATTGTTACGGATTTTCAAAACATTCATCAACGCTGTAGAAAAGCTTGTTTAGAAAAAACTCATTCTAGATCTCTTTTTAAGAACAAAATTAAGCTACCTAAGCTAAAACCAGCATATCCTTCCATTTTGTGCAAAATTGCAAAAAAAATACAGGCTTTTGTGAATAATTTAAGATGGTGGGAAATCGCTATCTACTCGTTCAGAAACTTCGAGGCCACTTTCGTCAATTGAACATAATAAAATCCATCCTAGCAAGACAAGATGTTGCCTTTTTATCATAAAAATTGCAGACAAAAGACCAACAATGAGGCGTCACAATGGTGTTTTAATAAAAGAGTACTGACAAGTGCTCAAATAAATAAACTCCTGACGTATTCCACATAGTCTAGCGAAAACATTTTTCAGTTTTTGTTTTTTTCCTTGCACTAACTAAGACAAAAAAGATATTATTTATTTATGAATAGCTTTTATACCAATTTGAAACATTTGAAATCCTGAAGTGTGGAGTCTTCGATAAAAA